CATTTTGACTTGGAAATGTGCTTCGCGCCACAGCGGCGTGCACTTTTTCGACATCTCAACGTCCAAAAGTCGTCCGACGCTGAAGTGTTTTGTACATTTTGACTTGGAAATGTGCTTCGCGCCACAGCGGCGTGCACTTTTTCGACATCTCAACTTCCAAAAGTGGTCCGAGAATGGTGTGTTTTGTCCATTTTGACTTCGAAATGTGCTTCGCGCCACAACGGCGTGCAATTTTTCATCTCTCATCTGGCCAGCTGGCTCCGCACCCGCCTCTTTAGCGAGCCTACTTTTCGACCCTCCGGAGCCACAAATCATTGGAAAAACACAGTTTTTCGCGACTTTCCTACCTTTTCGCGCATCTGCATCTTCTTTCTTCTTACTCTTTCTCTTCTACTCTTCTTTCTTCTAATCTTCCTCTTCTCTCTGCCTCTTCCCTGCTCTGCTTTTCATCTGTCCATATTGTCGGAAGTTTGACTTCTAAACTTCCGTCGAAAAGTGTTCAATATACTTTGAGGCGGACGCGCAATAATCAGAGTATGTCCGGGTGACAGTTTGGCGCCCCTGTGCTTTGTTTTGGGCATTTTGCACCTGTTCTGTTTGCCTCGCATGGGCGGTGCTCCCAATCAACACAAAGATCAGGCAACTTTTGGCAAGGGTATCAACTAATATCTGAATAGTTTTGTTTTTTGCGGTTCTTCATGAAATTGTTGTTGAGATTCTTGAGATGAACCACTTTGGTTGCAGGGCGAGTTATTTTTTACACTGTCCACTGTAGTCCAGTTTTGAGTTCAGCCCCTTTTGAAATCGACAGACTAATGTGAACATGAATTCATAGAGAATTGATGTTGATTCTTTGCTTCTCCTGCATAGCATTTGCATGCCGTTTGCAGGGCATCCATGACTTGCTTCTGATCACCTCAACATGTAACAGCTGACAGCAGCTGACAACAGCTGGCAACAGCTGTGACCCTCCCCGCGAATTCTGCCAGATCGAGACAGACAGTGAGGAGTCAGAGCCCGACCTAGGCCTTGGGGCCTTGGGGCCGTGCTGCTTTCGGTTGGATGCCGGACAGAAGTCGGAAGAGTTTCGAAAGACTTCGTCGGAAGACTCCTAAAGGGTTCTGTGTTCTGTTGTGTTCATCAAGTATTCGTCAAAACTTCGGAGAAAATCTCGTTGTTCAAAGACATATTTTTTGATTTGGGCATAGGACATGAAATCAGCTGAAAGCTCTGTGGTGCCCAGACCGCCTCACATAGCTGGCTCAGACTTAGATGGCCAAGATTCGGGTGGTTTCACTATTTCATTCTGCAGTTCTGCTATAGCTAGGAGTGCGGGGGAGCAGGGCTTTGACCCCTGTTCCAAGCCTGTGGGTTCATTTGTGCCATTTTGTGCCCATTCTTGGGAAGACTGAACACATCTTGGGTTATATCCCAAGGTGTTACTTCGGCCTCGGCTGTTTTGAAATGTTTTGCCCAATGTTAGCACCCAAGACAATCAAGACAATTGTACGACTTTCGGCCAGGCCCTCTTCGGTCTTTGGGTCAGATCCGGCAGAAGAGTGGAATGGAAGATGCTTTCGGAGATTCAGCGATGGGAGCAACTTTCGAGAGTTTTGCCACGCCGTTGGACGGCGATGGGACGACGGCAGATGCGGACATCACAGATGAAGGACAGTCGGACATCAGTCGGACATCCGGGACGTCACGGGATGTCGGGGGATGTCCAGGGGATGTGGCAATGGGCCTGAGGTGCTCCGGACATCTCTCGACTGTAGGCTTCTCTGGGTGCAAGCTCTGAAAGCAGCGTAGTTGATCCTATATGAATGCCAAGCGTTCCCCAGAATTCGCGCTCTCATGTCCTGAAGCCATGCATCGGCTGAATCGAGAACATATTCCAGTAGTACCGCACAAGGCGGTGGCGGAAGTTTCAAAAATAGGAAACCTATAGGAGAGGTTGGTTGTTGTGAGTCACGGATGGCAGAGCGAAGCCACTGATGGACTGAAAGGTGATGGATCTCTCTCACGCTTTCTCTCTCTTTTGCTCTCTTTCTCTCTCTTTCTTTGATTATTTACCTACCTACCTACTTACCTATCTATCTATCCATCCATCTATCCATTCATCTATCCATCTAATTATCCATCTATCCATCTATTCTATCTATATTTCTATCTTTCTATCTTTCTATCTATCTATCTATCTATCTATCTATCTATTTCTCTCTCTCTCTCTGTCTGTCCGTCTGTCTGTCTATCTATTTATCTATCTATTTATGTTTCTAGCTGACTATCCATGCATCTATCTATCTATATATCGATCGATCTATCTATCTATCTAATCTATCTGTCTAGATAGCCATCCATCCATCTATTCATTCAATCTATCTATCGATCAATCTATCTATCCATCTACATATCTAGATATCTATCTACCCAGACCCTCAAAACATCCAATTTTTGGATCGCAACCGAGAACATCCAAAAATGGATCCCCGACATCCATTTTTTGGATGCACCCGTGTCTTCGCTAAGCACTGTAGAGCATGTGCTAACATCAAGTGCAGTGAGAAATGTCTGCGCAACAGCTGTTTTTTAACACAATGTCGCTGCTTTGGCCGCAGTTGCGCTGAGAAACAGCGAGTTGTGTTTGAATCCCAAAAAATTGTAACCCGCCATTGAACGCGGCTTTGTTGAATGATGGCATATGCGTAATGAAAAGAAATCATATCATACACTTCAATTTAAAATGGTATGTTAACAGTCTATATGTGTATATATACACATATGATATATTTAGTAGAATTCATAATCTATATGATATTGTAAATGCTGGTGTACACATTCGTATGAAACAGGTCCCATACATGCGCAGCACACGGGCACGTCGGACCCCTTTTTGGGGGGGCAGCTCAGAAACACCCACCGTAAACGAACCCATCACATGCAACTGATCAAACCCCGCGATTTTGCCTAGAAGAAAACAGGTGGACCAAGCCTTACAAATCGTGTATAACGAACATCATCCACTTTTGGCTGACGCGCTATTGAAGCAGAGGATGAATTCCAAACATTTCCATTTTTTTAATGGTTGCACAAACCGTTGTGGCTTAAATCAAACCGGTGCGTACTACAGAAACGACAATGTAGTTTCTTTTGTTTTGAAGTAGTACCACTAGGCCACTAGGCTACGTATCCACAAGTCATTCACATGTATGCATGGACAATTGCGGGCAAAAATCATTTGCCGTGAATCAGGGGAAAAAATGGGTAGCCCAGGTCTTGATATCGTGTATGTTTGAGGAATCGCTCAAGCGACCCCAGCCCACAATATACACACGCGCAAAAACAAATCAGAATCGGAAGGTCATTTTTTGATTGCACGCCTAGCAGTGTGGTTTTCAAAGAGTTGTCCAGCTTGCGGCGCGCAATATCAATGCATGGCCATGCGTTTCATTTGTTGCTTGTGTTGTTTAACTGTTTAACTATTCGTTCAATGGTTTGACTACTTTTTGGTCTAGTTTTGCATTTTTTTCTAGCCATCGCAGGGGGAAATATGAACTAGAGGCATGCAAGCTGCAAGCAGCATCAAATGCCAGTCTAGACTGGAGGAGAACAAAGCAAGGAAGTCAAGGATGGTTGGACTACCCGCAATATTGATGATAGCTAATACATACAAGATGCAGGTCGGATGGGAAATTCCGTTAAATTAGTTTGGGGACGGGTTTGAAGGTGTCAAGTGTGTGGTTTACCTTGTGGCGTTGGTGGAACATGGTTGATGTTACCTCCCATATTTTTGGTTTGCGTCCTGGCAACGTTTCACCACAGCGCGGCCAATGTATGCGTCCGGTTGCGCAGATAGATGGGGCAGGGGGTGGTAAATTCCATTATTAAAACTGTTTGAATTAACATGTTGCAAGACAATCGACATTCCTGGTGTCTTAGGACCGCATTCATCATAGGTCAGCGCATGTCAGCGCTACAACAAGCGGAACGTCCAAGATACAACTTCCCCAGCAATGTCAACAGACCCTGCATCTTCAACATCCAAGTAAAACCTTGTTTTTTAATCCGGGAGAAAAAACACGTTCCACAATACTGAAATGGCCACTGTTGGCACTATATAATTACATTGACCTTCCTGTGTCCGAATACATCATAACATGATTGGGTTTTTGTCCCCAGGAACTCTGTATAACTATAACATCAAACCCAAGGCTCGTGTCAGAAGCTGTTGCATGGATTTTACAAAAAGTGCATACCGTTTTTTTCAAAATACCCTTGAATTTTTGGTTTGCGGTTATCCCAGCGTGAAAGTAAACAGAAGCAACATTGAGTCAGTAACTGGTCTGCCGCGTCGCTTCACAACTGTTTGGCTATTAGGGCAGACCTTGCAATTTTTCAAAGGTTATGCTGCAACAGTTTTGCAGGGCATCAACATTGGTTTCATTTTCAGACCCAAGATAAGCGCCAGCGGAGGGTTGGAAACCTGTGTGCCCGAGCTCGAGTGCAGTACCTGCGCCCTGAGCGCGTTTGCTTCTCAGCGGTTTTGCTTAGGATTCCCCTCGCCCAAAAAAAGGTAGATAAGTTTGTATTTAAAAGTGCTTAAATTAAATAAATGAAAGAAGATTCAGCCAGGGTGTTTGTAGCCAGGTTTGCCCAAATCATAGCTGGGGCATTGTTAGTGGCTGACCTAAGGGCGTCGTCAATTTAGCAGGGGTGGCAAAGGGTTTGTTGGGGAATTAAAAAAGGAATGCACGCGTTTGTCAAAGCCGGGGCTGGCTGAATGGGGGCGTCTTCCATGAAATGTGTCCAAAGTTCTGGGTCGGATCTCACAACTGTAAATTAAATATGTTTTGGAATAATCTGCATAGAAAATGTTATAAGAAAAAATGCGTCGCTGGTTTTGGCCAACTAATGTTGCTATGCGTCCAACGGTAGCCAAAAATGCGTTCGAAAAGATGCTTTTCGTTATTAAAAATGCATTTTTTGTGTTACCCAAAATTCACCCGGATGCTCATCGGGGGCTCATCGCTCTGAATTTCAAGCTCATCGGGGGGCTCATCGTCAATTTCCTTTCTTATTCAAATTGCGGGCTGGCCCAAAAATGGAATGCTCATCGGGGGCTCATCGCTGCAGGCTCATCGGGGGCTCATCGCGTCAAATTTCCAAGCTCATCGGGGGGCTCATCGCTAGTTTCCTTTCTTATTTAGATTACGGACTGGTACCATAACATGGGGCTCATCGGGGGCTCATCGCTTTATGCTGCCATAGGCTCATCGGTGGCTCATCGCCCCATATTCTACCAAACGTGCTTGATTTCACGGGGATTAGTCATGTTTGGTGGGGGATTGGTGTCTTGCAGTGCTCTTCCTTTTTCAACTGGCAGATTGCCTTGTCTGCAGTCGTGGAATCCACAAAAGCGTGTGTTGAGATTTCTGAGTTGCATTTGTTTTGGACTCTTAAAGGCTACAGCATTCCCAATCTAGTTGAATTGTTTGAGGCAGCCATTCCACATGCCTAGCGCCTGTTCTAGTTATTGCAAAGTTCGCTATGAATGAGCCCATACCTCCACAGATCACCAATGCTCCCTTTGTGAGATCATCCCCCATATTTTTGAACGCAATTATTCATCCTTTGTGGTTGGCTTCTCTGCGCTGCCTAATTCATCGAGTCGAGAAATATCCAGGCAATGTGAGCAACATGCAGCGCAAACAAACCTATACTTTACAATCAATCGCTGTTTCTTTTTTGCGTGAATGGCTCCCAAGTGGTCATTGTTTAAAAAATATTCACAACTACTAGATATCTTTTGGACGCGGTCTCCGAAATCCTTCTCAAGTTGCATGTAGATTTTAGAAAATAAATATGCCCGAAAGGTCAGAGAACCTCAAGGGTCGTACATGATCGCAATTGGGCACTGAAACAAACAAATCTGACTTCAAAGGGGAATTGCGAGATGCAATCTTAGCGCATGGCCCATTTGGGACAAGATGGGACAAGGAAGATTTTGCAAAAAAACAGTTGTAGCCTGTTAAACAAAAACATACCAGGAAAAAACAGCAACGCTCCCATGGAACCCTCCCCTTTGGGTTTCAACACCTTGAGACTGGCAGCCAAACCCCCCCACTTTTGACCTGTAAGCCGGGTGTGAATGCCCGCATCTTTCAAGTCTAGGGTCAAACCTAGCTGGAATATTTATGCCCACAAATGCAAAATGAACCAAAACGGTCATGGGAATATGTGAGTTTTTCACTTTGAATATTTATTTTGAATTTAGTGTGTGACATTCGGGTCTTCGACTTCCCACCAAACTTGCAAATATGAATTGATTTTAATTTAACCCAACTTTTTGCCTAGTCAATCGCAGCGACGCAAAGAAAAAAACACATGATAAAAAGATAAAAACCGTTGCTGACATGCGCAGAACCATGTTTTGCCGAGCACCTGTGCCTCATTGTCTTAAGATACGCGGGAGTATGCATGTTACAAACTGTATCCTACAGGTTTTAATATGTCTAAACCAAATCAACGTTGATGAAGTTTTTTTTGCAAAAATCAAACCGCTTTTGTGCAGCCAAAAGCAAACATTTTTTGGGGGTTGTTTTGGTGTGTTTTTTTTATGGCAGCATATGTCCTGAAAGTTTTGACTGGTCATGGGATGTCATGGGTCTGAAAATGAAGTCATTGGTGCTATAGGGTTCCCAGCATCCAATCGTAGGCGGATACAATTACAATCTAGATAGTCTAGATGCATGCGTACGAAAAGGATAGACATGGAAGGCTAACATGCTGTTTAATGTTTGGTTCTAAGAAACATCCCAAGCGTGCGGAACTCAAGCTATGCAAACATACCGACAAACGCGTTTTGCCCCCAGAATGCGTGGCCCAGCCTCAGAGCTGGCAAACCCCGCAAAAACACGATGAACGCACGTAAGGCAGCATCGGTTTTAATCATTTTTTCCCGGGCGAACCCAACATGAACCAAAAAGTGTAAGAATACAAACTCAGCATTTTCCACATAGCAATTGGGTGCAAGCCGCTTCCAAGTTGCGCGGTGGTGCAGGGTGTCAAGCAAAAACAACTATATATTATATGATATTATATGGTAGATACGTGACTTTGAAGCAATTAGAAAATGAATCGACGGCATATAATATATTCCTTGGTAAATGTTTCTTGCAACCTCTGGGGCCCATGGTCGGAGATTGTTTGCTTGTTGCCCTCGATATTCATCCCTGGACGTGTAATTTATATTTTTGAAAGATCCTGCGTCTAATCTGATGGGACGGATGATTCCTGGCTGGTCATTTTCAATTGATTTTAGAGATTTCATGTTTTTGCCAAACATGATGTCAAATTGAGATTTAAAGCGTCGCATCCCCGAGGGGAAGCCAAAAGAGTTTTCCCAATTTACCCCCGTGGTGTTAATTTCCCATTTGGATTGGTCCGCCAAAAAAAAAACACACAAGTCCCATGTTTTTTCGAAAAGTGCAGGGAAAACACTGTATTTTGGGGACTTGTGGTTTTTTTTTTGGGTGAACCAACCCAAGTGGGAATTTGCCACCCCATGGCCCGGGAGGTTTAGCTAGCCAGAAGTCAGGTACGTGTGCCATGACTTTTGACCCGCATAGAGCGGAAAGAGTATATACCAAAACAACATCCCACAAAGTAGACGTTCAAGAAGTCTTATCTGTCGGGTTGAAAACATGAATTCAGGATCTAGCACAACCATTTGTGTCCCTTCCATGCGGTTTTTGAACTTGAAAATGACTGGCAAAAAATGGATCGCTGACATCCATTTTTTGGATCGGAAAAAAAGACATCCAAAAAATGGATCGCTTTGAGGGTCTGGGTATCTATTTATATAGCTATCTATCTGTCTATCCATCCATTTATCTATCTATCTATCTATCTATCCATCTATCTATCTATAGCTATCTATCTATCTCATCTGTCTATCTAGCGGTGTATCTAGCTATCTACCCATCTACCTATCTGTCTATATATCTCTCTGTCCGTCTGTCTGTCTGTCTGTCTATCTATCTACCTGTCTATCTGCCAGCTTGAAAACCAAGCTATTCTGCGAGACTTCCTCATTTTTCGAAGTTGACAACATCAAAAACACAGCACTTCTGCGAGACCTTTCCATTTTTTTGAACTGAACAACATCCAAAATGAAGCAATTCTGCGAGATTTCTTCAATTTTTGAATTTGACAACAAAACAAATGATTTCTGCGAGACTTCCTTCAAAGATGGAAAGTTGAGTGCAGAGCTGACAGCCTCGTACCAATGCGTTTTGCGATTTTTCCACTCCACCTGTCTAAAGTACTGCGCCTGCCAGGAAAAAGTGATGCCAGGTCATACGAAGTGCTGCACCTGTCACGCAAAATCATCTCAGCAAACCTACAGATCTGATGCTCCAAAATGCAACCTTTCTCAGGAAATCAGCCCCCTGACCTCCTAACATCTCTGATGAACATGTCTCTTGTACTGCGCCTGCCACGGAAAATCTATCTTTGCAGGTCCTCTTCAAATGCCCCTTGCCTGCCATCGTTTTTGGAAATGCTACAAAACCCTCACGTTTTGCTCACTTTTGACAAGGTGCACAATCCCTTGCGCCTGCCACGGAAAACGACATCTGAACGTCCAAAGGTGCTCCGTACCCCTCAGTTTTTTGCACTTTTGACTTCGAAATGTGCTTCGCACCACAACGGCGTGCACTTTTCCATCATCTCAACTACCAAAAGTGGTCCGAATGTGAGGTGCTTTGTACATTTTGACTTCGAAATGTGCTTCGCGCCACCACGGCGTGCACTTTTTCGACATCTCAACTACCAAAAGTGGTCCGAATGTGAGGTGCTTTGTACATTTTGACTTCGAAATGTGCTTCGCGCCACCACGGCGTGCACTTTTTCGACAGCTCAACTTCCAAAAGTGGTCCGAACGTGAAGTGCTTTTAGCTTTTTCACTTGCAAATGTGCTTCGCGCCACAACGGCGTGCACTTTTTCATCTCTCATCTGGCCAGATGGCTCCGCACCCGCCGCTTTAGCGAGCCTACTTTTCGACCCTCCGGAACCACAAATCATTGGAAAAACGTAGTGAGTCGCGACTTTTCTACCTTTTCGCGCACCTGCATCCTCTTTCTTATCACTCTTTCTCTTCTCTGATCTTCTCTCTTCTGCTCTTCTCTCTTACCCTTTCCATCTCGGCTTTTCACCTGTCCATATTGTCGGAAGTTTGACTTCTAAACTTCCTTCGAAGAGAACATCATTTGAGCAAAGACCTAAAAAGCTCATCCAGAAACCGTTACATGAGAGGTCCTATGGTTGAAAATGTGTTGCAAACCATGAAAAGCGTTTTTGTGAACTACTTAAAGCGACAACGTGATGTGATGGTGAAGTTGAAAGGTGTTGCTGTTGTTTTTCACAGCGATGTGGGATTGTATGGTACCCTCGTGCGCATGGTTTTAGTATTCGTCGGATGCGAATCCAGGGGCTCCCAAAAGGCCTAGAAGTGCTGTGCTTCCAACAGGCATAGAGCACGCTTCTGACCACAGAACTTGCTGCCAAAACCAGGCTCTGGAAAGCAGAGACTGTGCTTGAGAAACAAGCTTTCACATGTTTCCCCATTTTACCAGATGAAATTATCGATAACAAAATCGATAACGTAGCGATAACCAAAACATTGCCAAATGGGGGCCCGGGCAGCCAGAGACCCAATCCATCCCTTGAGTGGGGCATTTCAATTTTGCGTCAAGCCTTGACACATCTACTTGGGGTGGTCCAGCCCGGCCTTGAAACCTATCATTATTGCATATAACTTCGATCTAAAGATCCAAAGAGATGAACAGAATCTGCAGTAGCAGAAGGTGCGCAACAGTGCAAAAACCAAGCTGTTCCGAGGGAAAATCCTTCCGCGCTTTGTTGACAAACAGTGGGCAGCAGACTGCTAACAATGAAGTGCCCCTATGGTTGATGTGGAGATGAATGGAAATGGATCTCCAAATCAATAGTCGTTGTTTGACATGCTACAAAACCTTAGTAAAGCGATATGGCAAACTACCTAAATCGACAGCTTTTGCCATGACCGCCTTTGTGGCCCTTAGTTTTGGCCCTTGCTCATGTGACCTTCGATGAGATGAGACAAGACGATGATATTTTGATATATTTGTGGCTCTTGGGTTCTGCGGACATTTATAGAAATCTTTGTTTGAAGTCACTAGTTTAGACATGTTCCTATACGGGAAATTGCGTTGAGTTTTTGCATGTGTTTAGGCTTGAGAAGTTAAATTTGATGCATTACTACCCGCCCTTTTCATAGAACCTGCCGCGATCTTGCGATGGATATCACATTGACCTCCGTACCCACAACATCCCACAACCATGGTAATCACACAGCACTGAGTCTTGTGGCCTTCCATCAAGCCTCAGAGGGCATTTCACCAAAATGTAACTTCTTGGTTTTGCTGAAAACATCTCATAACATGTCTAAAGAGCTCTAAAAAGCCTAAAGAGTCTAAACTACGCTGCGATCACCTGATGGAGTTGACTTGTTAGGAGTTGAGCTCGTCCTGGACGCCTCGCAGCACATTGCCCGGGGCATCGTGGATCGAACTCGTGGCGCACGGGTGGTTCTTTTGGACGAAATGATGGAGTCTATGGAAGTTCCTCGGCAAACGCCTCAGGGCAAACGGCAACGGTTGCAACGGTTGGAACGGTTGCACACCCTGAGCAACTCATGAGCAACGCCACAAACCCATCCCGATGACGTATCGTGACATATCCGCCTATGGCACACAATAGCGCACGATATCGCACGATGCATTCGATGCATTCGATGCATGGCATGCAATGGTATGCAACATGTGCATCCATGTGCATCCCATACAACAATCAGCCATGTCCATGTTGGCTCACAAATCAAAAGTCGCAAAGCTAGAGCAACGAGGGGTAGCTAGCTGGAGCCTCTTCTTTGCAACTAGGGGTCGCCTGTTGGGGATATCGAGGAGCTTTGTTTTTGCTTGGGCCCCTGCACATGTGGGAGATGATGTGACGATGTCCACAGGCTTGAATGATGCCAGGAAACCATTTCTCAAGAATGGGGAGTTTTCAAGCAGCGAACGGAACATTTGATACATGCATGTTTAAGTCTGTTTAAGTATGTTTTCAGTACCGGAGTCAGTTGCTGACGAAATGAAAGCCTAAATTACAGACGAAGTGCTGTCTCTAGCCTCAACGAGGGAGCGATGCCACCAGGGGCTTGATTTTGCAAAGGGCAATGCTGATTCGGGATGTTCAAGATCTATTGAATCTTTTGGATGGACTAGCATTTTTTTCGCAGCTCGCTGCGCTATCAAGACGCACACACAATACTAAAGATCAAAGTGCACAGTTGGGGGGTTGAGCACCTTTTTTCCAAAAACATTGAAGATTGAAGACAGTGATTTTTTCAACGAGTTCAGCACCTTCTTTTCTTTCTTTCAACGCTTGATTGGCCAGTTGCCCCATTTGCCACGCCGCGGCTTTCAAAACGCTTTGCCACGACGAGTTTGGCCATCCTGAGGTGCTGAACAATGTATCGACGGTGTTGGAAGTCTTGGGTAAGAGGACCCGGGACTTAGAAGCGCAGCAGAGGCAGATTTTGAAGCATCACTGAGCCGAGCCCCAGAAGATTCCAGAAGCACAAGCCACTGGAAACCAGGCAAAGACCAGGATAGAACTTCAAAGCGCCCGGCATCAAATGTTAGCCTAGACTTATCACAAGGCTGCATAAGTGACTTTCATGGACCTGAACGTGAGACCCCTCGGTACAAGGAGCTTGGCTTTTGATGCTCTATCCTCAAGCCTTTTAGCCGCAGAATACTAGACCCGCCTGACCAAAGTTGGTGGCAGCAGTGGCGACACCTTTTACTTTGTGCATAACGGGCTAGAGCGGCTACAGTGCAAAGAGAGGTAGCCACTTAGCCATGACTGGCTTGGATAGGCACCCTTTTAGAAGCAGTGAGTTGCGACCCCCGGTGATGGTCATGTTCGATGCACCAGCACTGATCTTGAAGGCTAGTTCACGAGCTCATCAGAAGTATGTTGGGTTTCCTTATTCTAAATCAGACCAGTACAATGCTGCGGCGACCAAATTCCCAACGCTCTGCAAACGCAGATGCGGGATGACCTCGCTCGTTTTTCATACCAAAACGGGATATCACATGGCGAGCTCCAGAATCTGAAAGGACATGAGCAGCTCATGTGGGGCAAAAAGGCTGACAGTCTTGTGGTGTTGCCCAATGAAAAAGTGCAGGGGTTTCAGGTCAGTCGTTACGTTCAAGGGCCCTGACAAGATTAAGATCACATGGATGTGACGATTCACTTCCCCACATTTTTGTCATGCGTCAATACTGCATCCACAATCCTAGAGAGATCTTCTATCACAATCATGGGTTCGAGTCATTGCAATTTCTTTCAACGATGGTACTCAGAGCTGTGCTCGCAAAAACGGTCTTAGTTGAAGACGCAAAACAAATTTCAGTTGCGTGCGCCAAACGAGAAGCTGGCTATGACAATGTTGATGAAGATGATGATCTGGACATTAAGATGGTTTAAGATGATTTAAGATTAAGGTTATTTAAGCTAGTTTGCATATGCACAGCTCACACCACACCACACCATGTACAAGCTGCTGGTGATATTCGCATAGGCTGACCATGAAAATACATGGGGCGATGCTCCTCCTGCTGTGCCGTTGGTGGTCAGCTTGTGCTGCTTTGTTTTGGAGTCGCTAGTAGGGCTGCATCAGCCTTGTCATCCCCGTATCTAAAGTAACATCAAGGATTGACAAACCCCATCAAACCCCTCCATTTGAAATACTTTGGCCCGTTTTGACGATATTGTTGGTCTTTGTGATATTGGTGGTGTAACATGTCACAGTGTTGTGGCTTGAAATGTGTTCCAACACTTTCCGCCGGTGCAAGAGGAGGGGGTGTGGAAGCGCGGGCAGCGGATGAAGGAGTGAGGCGATTGTGAGACGGGGGCTTGCCGTTAGCAAGGCCAATTCGCCGGGGAAGTGTCATACAGACCCGCATTTGGTAGAAGTATTCACGATGATGGACGATGACGGACCACAACAGATTGTATTCTGATCGTTGTGACAACATTGTGAGGCAATGTGTGTGTGTGACACAGCGGCATCCATGCGGAGCTGCGGAGGTTGACGCTAGGACTCTGGTTTCACATAACAAGCGTCAAACTGACGTTTTGGTTTCACAGCTGACACAGGCTTCTGACTTTCCCTGCATTGAGCTGCTTCCCCACAGAGTAGTTTGATGCACTCTAACCATTCACATTCTTTTGCTACAGATCCACAATGGCTTGAACAGATTATAAAAAACGTTGGCTTTCTAACCATTCTCCATGGATTTTTTTTTGCACTTGCGCCCCTGCATCGCAAGTTCCGATCTTTGTGGCCCGTCTGTGTCCAAAACCATCAATGTGTAATGCAGACATGTAGATATACATATACGCATAAAGATACAAACTTAGAGATGGACATAGATACATACATAGAAAAAAACAGATAAGACATAGATAGCTAATTAGATAGATAGATAGATAGATAGAGAAATAAATATATATATATAATATAATATATAATATATATAATATATATAATATATAATATATAATATATAATATATATAATATATATATATATGTGTGTAAAAAAATAGGGAAAATAGATAGCTATAGAGATAGATAGATGGATAAGAGAAGAGAAGAGAAGATAAGATCAGGTAAGATAGACAGATAGATAGATAGGTAGGTAGCTAGATAGCTAGATAGCTAAATAGCTAGATAGCTAGATAGATAGCTAAATAGCTAAATAGCTAAATAGCTTTGGGATGCACGTTTTTGGGACTTGGGCACCCTTTTTTTGGACTTGTACATGTTTTTTCGACCTGGCCGGAAATTTTTTGGACCTGGGGGCACAAAAAAATGTAGGGGAAGTGCCTGTGTGTTTTCTGGACCCTATGGGGATATTTTTTTTTGGACCTGCATGTATTTGTGCTGGACCCAGGGACATTTTTTACACAGCCAAATTAATTGTTTCTAAGCTCGGTTTCTGTTTTTTGGACCTGTGCAACTGCTTCGTGGACCTTGCCTCCATAGGGTGAGGGCGGAGCTCCATTGTTATAGGCGCTCACATTGGGCTGGATGTTTTTGGACCTTGGCGCCTTCTTTTTTGAGCCCGTACATGTTTTTTAGGACCTGGCGCAGGGTAGGGGGAATTTAGATATTGAGACAAGATGCATGCAAGAAGTTGTTGATGCCGAGGAAGTTCGGATATTGAAACAACAAAAACGTAAGAAGTGGTGGAGAGCCCAATGGGGGAAGTCTACGTATGAAGCGAAATGGATGCAGGAAATTGAGAGGCACATAGGGGGAAGGGAAAGTTCGATATTGAAACAGGATGAGTGCAAAAAGTTGTTGAGAGATGATGGGTGGAGCCTAGACATTGAAACTAAATGAAGATGCATGAAGATACATGCAAAAAATTGCTGAGAGACGCAAGGGGGATTTTTGGGACCCAAAAATGAATGCCGGAAGCAGCTGAGAGGCGCAGGGTGGAGGGAATTTAGATATTGAGACAAGATGCATGCAAGAAGGTGTTGGGAGAAACGGGGGAAGATGTAGATATTGAAGCCAGGTGACCGAGAAGCGGAAGTCCAGATAATTATTGAACCCAAATGACGGTGCATGCAAGAAGCTGTGGGGAAACGAGGGGGGGGAAGCTTAGATTTTTAGATATTGAAACCGCATGAATGCGGGAAGCTGTTGAGAGGCACAGGGACTTTAGGTGGCCACGGTGGAACCAGATAAGAAACCAAATGAATGCAGGAAGTTGCCGAGGGGCACCGGGAATATTGAAGCAAGATGAATGCAGTAAGTTGTTGAGAGGCACCGGGGAGGAAGCTTAGATATTGAAGCCAGGTGGCTGCAAGAAGTTGCTGAGAGACAAGGGGTGAAGCCTAGACATTGAAACCAAGTTGAGATGCATGCAAAAAGTTGTTAAGAGGCCAGATGTGAAGTCTTGAGTCCAAGTGAATGAATGCAGGAAATCGCCGAGAGGCACCAGGGGGGGAAGTTTAGATATTAAAACCAGATGAATGCCCCCACTGTGGGGTACAGAGGTGTGAAGTGTAGAAATTGAGAAAAAGAGGACAGGATGGGAAGGAGGTGGGAAACCCAATGTGTCACAAGGAGGGGCGCTGCACCCCCTGGAGAGCATACATACTGAAACCCAATGAATGCAGGAAGTTTAGGAAATTTGATGAGAGGCGAATGGGGGGGAAGTTAGATATTGAAACCAGATGAGCGCAAGAAGTTGTTGAGAGACAGGGGAAGCCGAGATATTGAAACCAAATGCATGCAGGAAGTTGCTGAGAGGCACAGGGGTGCAGGAGAAATTCGGATATTGAAACAACATAAAGGCAAGAAGTTGTGGAGAGGCCAACGGGGGGCAAACCTACATATGAATCCAAATGGATGCAGGAAGCGGAAAGACACATTGGGGGAAGAGAAAGTTAGATATTCAAACAAGATGAGCGCAATAAGTTGCTGAGAGATGACGGGCGGAGCCTAGACATTGAACCCAAATGACGAAGCATGCAGGACGTTGTGGAGAGACGAGGGGGGAAGCCTAGATTTAGAAACTAGACGCATGCAAGAAAATGCGGAGAGGCAACGGGGGAACCAGATATGAAATCAAATGACTGCAGGAAGTCTGCAGGAAGTTGCTGAGGGGCACCGGGGAGGAAGTTTAGGTATTGAACAAGATGAACGCAGGAAGTTGTTGAGGGGCAACGGGGAGGAATCTTAGATATTGAAACAAGATGAACGCAAGAAGTTTGTGGAGAGGCTAGGGCCGGGGGGAAGTATAGATATTCAAACCATATGAGCACAAAGGTATTGAACCCGGCAAGAAGTCGCGGAGAGACGAGGGGAGAAGCCTAGATATTGAAACCGCATGAATGCAGGAAGTTGCTGAGAGGCACAGGTGTGTGAGAGCTTTGGAATCTTGAAACAAGATGCTTGCAAGAAATTGCGGGGAGGCCACTGGGGTGCCACATATGAAACCAAATGAATGCAGGAAGTTGTTGAGGGGCACGGGGGGAAGTTTAGATATTGAAACAAGATGAATGCAAGAAGTTGCAGAAAAGCTAGGGGGAAGCATAGATACTGAAACTTGATGAAAGCAGGAAATCTAGGAAGTTTGATGAAAGGCACCAGGGGCGGAAGTTTAGATTTTGAAACCAGATGAATGTCCCCAAGTGAGGCACTTTCACCCAGGTAGACACCAAGTTGAGCCCCTGCGTAACTGAGAAAGGCCGGAAGATGTGTGACAAGTAGGAGTTGAGAAGAGGGCAGACAGGGGAAGGAGGCACTGAACCTAATAATGTATCGAAATGCTTCCTGCTATCTTGCATGGTAGCGCAGCTCTAGCCCCCTACCAAGAGGCAGCTTGGAGAATCTATCCAAGGGGGTGTGGTTTGGGGAAGGGCTAGGTCCAGCAGGTGGGTGCGCAGGTCCAAAAGAAGGGCAGCCATCTCCAAAAGAATTGTAGTAAGGTCCATGAAATCCAATAGTTTTTTGGACAGATAGATGGTAAAATGGCTGCGGCTCAAGGATTAAAGCTCAAGGTTTATCGGGTGTTCTTTCCCTCAGTTTATTCCTTTCCTTTAAC